ATCTGTAATACACAAAGTTAGGTAACTTAAAAACTATTCGTTCGAAATTTTGTCTCGGATACGATAACATTTTCGAAATAAATATTAGCTAAATATTTTTCGGTAGAAAATGAGAGTTCTCATTCAAAGAGCAGAAATTTATATCTCAACGTGACACTCTTTATAAGTAGTAGGTACGAATAACCTCAACAAAACCTCAACAAAATATTGTCTTTAAGTGTATTTTTAATAATTCCAAAAATAAGATTTTGAATAACAGTGTTGTTGAAGAAAAATAAGTGACATGCTATGTGAATCATCGTGTATATGTTTGTTAAAATGTTGACATGTAGTATCTTTAGTGTTTCGATTGTATGATAAGTGTTTAAGTCCTCAACCAGGTACCATAATAAATACACATAAAATATATAGCCATATAGCACCTAAATCTAATATTTAAGTACTTATTTATTTTTATTTTTTTAATTTTAATTATGACACATTGACTAAGTATAATATTAATCCTTTTGGCGTTCACGCTTACATAGTAACAGTTCAATATGCCTGCGTGGCTGCATGTCCGATTTGTATTATAAGCATCAACCTACAGTCCTACCTAATTTTGCCATTTTTTAAATTGCACACTAGTATAGCGCTTAGACTACACGTGTGGGGGACTTCGACAGTTCGACCATTTTCAGGCGCGTATACAAGGGGGGGTTCTAGGGATTCAACCCCCCCCCCCTCCCGAAATTTCAGGAAATAAGTTTTATTATTTGTTAGTTTGGTTTTATTTAATTTCCCGCATTGCCTATTCGTAATATGAATTACATTCTCGTTTAGTGCTCGATCTTTATCTACAATCGTTAATCGGACCACTACAGTGGCAAAATGTATCTGATGATGATCGCCCAAAATGTTCATTAACTACCTTAAGTCAAATTTCCAGTGATTTCTATCCGAATATAAAGTGCCTTTTAACAATATTAGCTACTTTGCCTGTAACGACTGTTACTGCAGAGCGTTCATTTTCAACATTGCGGAGACTGAAAACCTATTTGAGAAATAATATTGGACAAGACCGGCTGACAGGATTAGCGCTCATGAATATTTATAGAAACGATAACATTGATATTGACGAAGTCATTAACAGATTTGCAAGACTACCTCGAAAATTAGATTTTATATTATAAAAATACATGTTTTTAACAATTATTAAATTTTTTTTTTAAGTAAGACGTTTTTTATAAGAAATAAATAGTACTATATAATTGAAATTGTGTAAACTCCTTGTTAGGTTATAGGTTAAGTTAGATTATATAAGTATGAAAATTTACAAGCAAAACCCCCCCTAAAATTTTTTTTGTGTACGCGCCTGACCATTTTACATATATTCGTGTTCCTCCAGGAGACAGGATTGGACAAACTTATTTAACCATCTGAACAACAGAACCTTAAAATTGAATCTCATACAATTTGGTTTAGACATTTATTGTTATTAAACCTTTTTTAAATATTATTATGTAATACCTAATTGCGAAAAAAAAAATATCTTATCCCAATGGCCAAGTTGCCGAGGGTTATTTCTTTAATAAAAAAAATAGTAAAATTCTGTCACAAATTATAAATACTTTCGTTATTCTTTAAACAGTTAATATATTAAATATTTTCGTAGTTGGTAGTAGATACTCGTACATCGGCTGTACCACTGCAGACTATGAAAGTTTTTTCATGATAGTTGCCAGTTGGTAACCAATATTTTATGAATTCCGTATTACGTATAGGTTCGCTGTGTGTCTGAATAAAATAGGCCTTGACCTATAATCTTCTTAAATAACTAGCCTAACCAAATTAAATGTACCTTCATATTCTGATTTAATACCCTAAATAAAAATATTTTTATATTCAGATATTATTTTGAAATTTTAATTATTAAAAGTTTGTACATACCGTTGGGCGTCAATTAAAATAAATAAATAAATATAAAAACAGGTAGTACCCTTTTTTAAAGAAAACCATTTATTTATAAATAACTAATTTAATTGCATGAAAGTATAAAATAGTACGTATAGAAATTATATAGCAGGGTATAGGTAACATTTTTTTATTGGTTATTTTATTTCTCAATAAGCATTTAGGTCATTGACAAATACGGAGTTAATTACTAACGAGCTCCCCCAGGGCCTGATTAACCAATAGGCTGAGTAGGGCACCAATCGGCCAATATTAAATTGGGGAGCCATCAAGGGGCGCCAAATCAACCCTAGCGTACTAGCGACCAACTCCTTAATCAGACACCTCTTAATAAGATCCTGGGCTTCACATAGGTACGAAATCAAACTAAACTTTTATTCATCTTCGGAAATTGGATTTTACCAACAGTCGAAAAAAAATGTAAAACTTTATAAAGTTGTAATTTACGTACTACAATATAGAGTATATAATAATTTTCTACTATTGACAAGGGAAATCGAAATGAATTACTCATTGAAATCCATAGTATGTTACTTGATTAAGTTAGCTATACTATAGCTGTGAGTCTGTGACCTTACCTTGTGTGTTGTAACTTTGTAAAAGCTAAGTTAAAACGAATTTATTCCAATAATTGAGCAACATATTGAGATATTTGGACTAGAGGGTATAAAAATCATATTCTGTGTTAACAGGCACCTATCTAGTTTATATATAGGTACTAAATCTATGTAGATTTCCACCCAAATCAATGAACCAATTATTATTACCTAAAATCTAAATAAATGAAATAGGTAATTCAGAAAGTGTGAAAACATATATTAAATCCTAACAATGCTCCTCCCTCTGGAAAAATATCTGTGGACGCCTATGGTATAGAACGCTGTCAATAGGTTTGTGAACCGTGCTATAAATATCTTAAAATTAGTCAAAATATTTTGAAAACTATATTGTGTGTAAACAATTATAAAAGTATAAAATTGGAATGTTTTAAATTCTTAATTTTGAATATAATTAAATTTGATAGAGGATAATAAATCATTATTAGATGTTTGGATATCAATGTCATCAAAATTTGACCTCCAATAACGTAAAAAAACGCACGCCACTAAATGTTTTTTTTTTTAAATTTTAGTTTAAAAAAAAACTTATGAGATAGGTACTAGTTTCTAGTAGGTACCTCGCAATAAATTTCTTTCCATGCATTAGGTGTTAAAATTAAAATAATGTTATGAATTTTTAACTATAAAATATAATTTATAAATGTGAGAGAATTTGATAAAATATAAACTTTTTTAAGCTCTTATAAAAATACTGTAGCTGTGTAGACATTTTGGATATTTTTTGTTTGGCTTATAGACAATAGTTATGAGGAACCTTAAAATTACAGTTAAGATTTTTTAGTCTAAAACACAAATGTTATACTATTATCTATTAGGGAGAGTAGAAAATTTAAAATGCCTATGATAGAAAAAATGAATTGATAATTATTGAATTATATCATATCCGGAAAATGATAAGCTGCTATAATGATAGTCTAATATAAATCTCTGATTAAAAATTCAAATGTCTATAGCTAGACATTTTTTAAGTACAATTAGAAACAAAACCAATGATCGTATTTACCGGTTATTTTGAAAATGACTGGGAAATTTTTACTTTTGACCTACCAAAGAACTTACACTACTAGATTGCATTTTACACTAGAAATTCTAAATAAAACACCATCGTAAAAACTATATACCTACCTACGTTTCTCCATCCGGAATCTAATAACTCCTATTCGGCTATTCCTATAGACAAAATAGAAACTCATGGCGCCACTGATTGTGCATAATTTATAAATATTTAAAAAAGATATTTCATGCAATTAAATATTTCTGATACAAAGTTTTCACCATCATTATATGAATACGATATACATATACCTACATAATGTATGTATTTGATATTTTAATAGGTCTAAAAGTAATTACAAACTAAGAATAATGTAGTAATATGGTCTATATTATTATTAGTTGGAAGATTACCTATACAGCGAAATCATTAGAACTCGAAAGTTCAAATAATGTGTGGCAATACATACGCGCAATTACAATATTAAAATATTATCTACTGATATTCTCATTTAAAATTCAACTTATAATTTTATTTACCCATATTTATCATAGTAGATAAATAATAAGTATATTATTTACCTGCCTACTTTATGCATTGTCTATATATATATATAGTACGATTAAACTATTTTTTTCTAGACAATAGTGTTCAGGTCGTTAAAAGCCGAGTCTGGAAAAATCTTATCGTCAACGTTTAATCGTCTTAAGTTCTTATTACACGAGTTTAACACGACGTATGACTGCAGGTCTAAGTATTATAAGTGCGCGCCTTAAACCGGTTTTCCACGGGAGGATTTTTTATTATATACCACAGCAAATAATAGTTTCACTGTTTAATGCCTACAGGTACAGAAATTCAAGACTATTAAAATTATTTACTTATTTTGAATAGCTTAGATAAGAATTTAATAATTTTAGGTGATTAGGTAATTAAATCCCTTGCATGTGTTGTTATTATCTTTAAATGAATGTTTTGAGATTGGTCCATCCCATGCTCGGATGCTCCTACATATATTACAATTCACAAGTGGATAATGTGAACAGATATATGATCTTGTGTTGTTTATGGAAATATTGTAATAAATAACAAGTGTGTAGACTATTATCTCATATATAAAGAATTCAAACATAGGTACGGTCAATTTAGGTGGGAATGGTGGGATCAAGGTTAATTGACTTCCTTAAACGTAAAACATTAATAATATGGTATATGCCAGATGATGGGTGATTGCTATTATTTTATTCAAGGACAATAAACCAAAAATACAATATTATAATATTATTGTTCATTTATTCAAAATATCTTAACAAATATTGAAACATTCAATTTCATTTATCTTATTAAACTACAATATTTTACTCTAATGAAAGTATGTTATTAGGTACATATTTTAAAAATCATTAATTTATATATACATTGCTTAAGTGAATTACAAAAAAATAAAAAAATATAAACATTATTAAAAATTTATCTTTCCTTACTCCTATTTATTTATATATCAATAATTATTAGTTTATTAAGCTATAGCTCAATTGTTCTTCCTTTTGTCATAATTGCTCTTAAAGTTTCGACTTTGCTTTTTACTAAATTTACTTGAAGTTGTAATGTATCAGTGAATGCATTTTGTTGATTTTTATGTTCGGTCACCAATAATATTATTTCATTATATTTACGGCATGTTTCTTCTAAATTGGCCATCATGGACATCATTTTACACTAAATTTTAAATAAAATAATAATAATACCATACATTAAGATACATTTGACCTAATTTTTAATTGAACATGTTATCCAATTGATAACTTTAGTTTCAAGTGTCATTTTTTTAATTTATCTGTATTAATAAATAATTCCACAACCAGTTAATTATCAGCTCTAGTGTATAAATATTTAAAGCTGCACAGTCAAAACATAATTTTAAATAATCAGGTTGATTGGTAATAAAAAGTAAAAACACATTTTAACACAATTGAACACTTATATCATACCTACAATATTATGTCAGTAGATTAAATTATTAAAATCAAAACAATCACAGTGGTATTACTTAATATTTTTTATTGGTGCTAATTGGCTTCTTAGTACTAAACTACTTCTAAGAATCCCTGGTAGTTCGGTCACTGTTATTAAGTACAGTAATGTGCAAATGAAAAATTACTTAAATGTAAAGAAACATGAATTTTGGTTTAACGCTATTCATGTCAGTTTGTAATAATTTAATTTCAAAAACTAACAATATTTTAAACATTACTTAGAAGATTTACAATTTAAGTTAACTGAATTATTTACTGACGTAATCCTAAATGTTTAAAAAAAATCAAATTTTATTAGTAATTACTTAATTATTGTGGTTTTATAATTATAAATATCATTAAATAATATATTGTACTATATCTGCTAGTTTTACTACTTGAAATCCTTATAAGCTATAAATTGAGTATAAAAAAAAATATTTATTCAATAAACAACATTCATAGGAGTTACCTAGGTACACAAACATTTTTTCTTGTACTGTTATCCAAGTACAAATTGTAATAAATCAGCTACATGATATATAAAAAAAAAACAATTAGTTTTAAGTACCTAGTAAGTACTTATAAACTATTCAAACTATACACTGAAACCTCCTTATAAGTTATAACAAAATCTCTTGGTACCAACTGATTTTTTTTGTTATTCAGAATTTTCTGTAGTAGGGAGGCTAAAATATAGGGAACATATGTTATGCAAGACTTGTTATTTTCCATTTTATAGGGGGTCCAACATAAGGAAGTTATTCTGTAGGTATATAAAATTAATTTTAGAAACTAACTTCCAGTTAGTTAGCAATTTACTTTACACTTATTGACAAAATTAAAACGGTTTTTTTATTAAAATGAATACTTTGAGAATAAATATTAACCTAAGGCTGGGGTCACACAAGCGTTTTATTAACATAATATGTTACATTACATCCATTGTTGAATTTTATGATGACTAATGCTGATGGTCTTATACTTGAAGTCCATCAGATTTGACGTAGTCTACATCAGATACTCACTTAGATGGACTTTACATTTAATGTCTGATGACATATGACACTCGTGTGACCCCAGCCTAAACGTTTATCAACCTATTAAATAAGGATGTTTTTACTTCAACTAGTATTTTTTTTTAAATTGTATTTTTAACAATTTGATTTTATTGTTTGACAACTTCAAGTAGTGTTTTGAATAGTATACTATGCAATATTATCATTAAATTAAAATATTATCGTAAGTAATTAAAATTCAACTGTAATCAAAGGCAGGTTAATGAATACAAAACAAATCGTCTCAATTTGAATTACAAAACAATATGAATGATAAATTAAAATATATGTATAAGTTACTTACATAATAGTTAACATAATCATACTAACCGAGTGGGATGTTTCGTTTTCTGAAAATAGAACCCGTTCGAATTTTTTTATTTTCCAACTTAAAGTGTCTATTCTTTTTTCGATGTTAGTCACCTACACACGAGCAGTGTTAACCATAAAAACATTTACAAATGGACAGCGCTGAAGGAACCTTAGTGATTCATTTGGTACTTACGACTTGTTCCAAGTGCTGTATGGCATCGTCCATAGTGTTCAATATGGTACATCAAATAATAATTAAAAACAATTTTCTCAGTCACTATAACCTAACCTTTTTTTTTATAGTCGTCGATTTTATTATTGTCGAACGTTGTGGTTAGAAGTCAGTACTCAGTAGTTCCGTCGTCAGTTCATAGACTAAAGATCTTGACATGACGTCACTAAACTATAGAATTATTACTGCAGGTTCCGACGGTTCCGCAGTTCCGGATGTCCGTTTCGCAGTGTCTCTATGATAAGACGATACCGTTCCCGCCAAAAATCAAAAACGCCCGACGAATATACCATAAATTCCGTATCATCGCGGTATCCCGTCGACGACATTGACGACCGCGGTTAGGTTGCCCACGACTTCGCGGAATTATAATATTTATTATACAACATCACCGGCTTGCGGACTACACGCAAGCGCCAGATTTTCGTATCCGATTCCACACGAAATAATAATCTCGATCCCCTCCCGTTGCAGCCGTATTTAATTGTATTTTTTTTGCAATATTGCCAGACCGAATCGCGACGTCCGATCGCCGTATACAGCCTAACATTATTGCCGACCTGTCGTCTTCGCCGTCTAGCAGGCACCGTCCGATAACTATTACACAATAATACAATATCTGCCGGCATATCGATTCGTCCGTCGTCGTCGTTAGTTGTACGCCAGCAGTTGCCAAGTATGTGCCAGCCGTCTCCTCCCGTTCCCCACTGATTGCCTGTTATTTCATTATTTTATTTTAGGTGCGCCGCCCGGTTTTCTGGTCATTTTCTATTTTTTTTCGTTTATTTCATCAACCACACTCCTGTCGCCATGTACAACCTCAGCCGACTAGGACGTAACGTTTCGGAGAGTGTCCTGAGGACGGCGTCCATGTCCTCTGCTCGTGGACTTCACGAGATGCCAGATCACCTTAAGGATGTGCCCACAGCCGAGAACCCGCGGTTCTTTGACATGGTGGAATACTTCTTCCACCGTGCCTGCCAGGTAGCTGAGGATAAGCTTGTCGAAGACATCAAAGCCAAGATGTCCGTGGAAGACAAGAGGAAAAAAGTCAAGGGAATATTGTTGGGTATGCAGCCGTGCGATCACATACTGGAGACATCTTTCCCAGTTCGTAGGGACAGTGGTGACTATGAGATGATCACAGGTTACCGTGCACAACATAGTACACATAGAACACCATGTAAAGGAGGTGAGTAATGGACTTAAATATAAAATCGTTTTAGTATTATAATAATGTTTTAATTTTACATGATACTTACCCATCTAATATTGAAAAATATAAAAGTACATTAGGTTGGTGTTAAATAAAGTATATTTAGATGTAGCTGATTTAAATACCTATCTAACATTAAATAAATTTAAATATAAAAATAGTTTCTAAAAAAAAATATTGTACAGTTTAAAAAAAATTATTTTTTTCCAATAACACTTGAAATGATTAGCAAGTCCTTAAAATAAGTTTGAATATAAATGAAACTACCTATTGTTAGGCACAAAAAAAGTTTAAAATACATAGGTAGGTACTTATTGAAACGTATATTATGTTTAAATAGTAATTACTTATTGTTTTAACATTACCTGTACTTAAAGAATATACAATACCTACACATTTAGAATTATTATAAACATAAAATGTCTTAAATTGGTTCTTAAACTAATAGGTAGTTGGTACAATTATTGTAAGTGTATTATTTTTAAATACTTACACACTGTTTAAATTTAAAAATTAAGACCACTTAACAAATGCTAAAAATTAAATATGCAGGTTGCAAGGTCTTTAAATGTCCATAATAATGTATTTGTACGGTTTTTTTTAGAGGATAATTATAAAGTTAAGGATGAGTCATCAAAAACATTGACAATAATTGATAGATTCTACCTTAGTCACTTATGTTAATTATTAATGTATGAAACCTATCTAAATAACTATTTTATAAAATCAAAATCTTGTTAACAACTTTTTCTTATTTTTGATCAGTATTATGTTTCCAGTTTTTATGTGAATATTTTACAAGTAGTGTTATACTTGAGAATATAATTGAATAATATTAAAAAATATCAAATTTTAAATTAACATACAAATATTAGATAAATAAGTAGTTAAATAAAATAATTGTACAGAAATGATAAAATTTCATATTGGAAGATTACTTGGTAGATTATAATATTTAAATGATTTATTCTTCCGCTTTAATTATATTTATGTACTATACATAACTGAATATCTACATAAATATACAGTGTATTATCCAAATTAAAAACAGTACAAAGTATGTACATTAATTAGTAATAGTTTAGATTAGATAGGTACTCATAATAATCTATTTGTTTCATTTTGAACAGTTAATAATTTTATATTATGTACTTCTTTTGATGTATAAGCTTTTGACACGTTGATTCATGTTGATGAACAAGATATCTATAATTCTTATATTATGATAATCTAGATTAAAATAAAATCTAAAAATTTAAAAGTAGAAACAATAATAATAATTTGAAAATTGTAATTGATATCCTCTTTAAAAATTAGTTTTATTTAAGATTGATATATGATTGATTAATTTACTGTAGGTAATATACTGTACCTAATGCTAATAATGAATAAAAATGTTATTAATTTTAAACCTGAATAAATAACAATTATTAAATATATGCAGGCATGTAATGCGGAATAATATTTAGTTTATTGGTATTATTAATTTGAAACAAAAATAATGTTCTGGAAAATAAAAAACTGGCATCTACATCAAAAAATAATAAAAACAACTTCTTCAAAGACATATTTACTAATATACATTAACTTTATTACAGGTATTCGATTTTCATTGGATGTTTCCCGTGATGAAGTGAAAGCTTTAGCCGCTTTGATGACGTTCAAGTGTGCATGTGTTGATGTACCATTTGGAGGTGCAAAAGCTGGCATTAAAATAAATCCAAAATTGTATTCAGAAAATGAATTAGAGCAAATTACCAGGCGGTTCACATTGGAATTGGCTAAAAAAGGATTTATTGGTTAGTAGATAAACCAACATATTTTAATTTTGAATTGTCTTTATTTTAAGTGATCAAATAATTTGTTATTCAAAATAAAGTTTTATTCATCATGACCTCAAATAAAAATTATGTCAAACACGGCGTGAGAAATATTGTCGGAAACACCATAGCATTAATAATAGGGTTAAGCTCAATTGATGATGATAATAGGGTCATTGAAAAAATGTAGGGTTCTAATAGGAATCAAATTAGTTGTAAATTAAGTCTTCTAGCAGATCATTTATTTTATTTATTTATGCCGCATGTTATGTTAATACCAATTATTATATATTAGTTAAATATAATTTAATTATATTTTAAAATAAATTAAAATATATTATCTATAATATTAAAATTATTTTTATTATAATCTCATAAATTTTTTTTTTTTTTAGGACCTGGTGTAGATGTACCTGCACCAGATATGGGAACCGGTGAACGTGAAATGTCATGGATAGCTGATACATATGCTAAAACTATTGGTTATTATATTTATAATTATATAACAAATGTTCTTGTTTTATTATTATTTTTTAATCATATATTATCAATTAACATTCAAAGTTTATAAAGAGTTCAACTTTTTCTATTATATTTCTTGAATTGAAAAGTATGATAACCTTAACGAAAAAAAAAACAAATATGTCGAACCATCTATTAATTATTATATTATTGTAAATATTATGTACTGATTTTATCTTTTTATCAAATAGGGCATTTGGACATTAATGCTCATGCTTGTGTAACTGGTAAACCAATTAATCAAGGTGGAATTCATGGTCGTGTATCAGCAACTGGTAGAGGTGTTTTCCACGGATTAGAAAATTTCATCATGGAGGCCAATTATATGAGTTTAATTGGTACCACGCCTGGATGGGGTGGAAAAACTTTTATTGTTCAAGTTAGCTTACATTGTTATTATATTGTCTAATTATATACTTATTAATTAAATTTTTATCATTTAAGGGTTTTGGTAATGTTGGATTACATTCAATGCGTTACTTACATAGAGCAGGTGCTACATGCATTGGTGTAATTGAACATGACGGTTCTATTTGCAACCCAGATGGGATTGATCCCAAAGTAATTACCTTTTATTTATAAAAATTAAATATATAAGCTTAACAAAGATTTACTATTTCAGGCATTGGAAGATTGGAGAATTGACAATGGCACTATTTTAGGATTCCCAGGTGCTCAGCCATACACAGGTGAAAACCTTATGTATGAACCTTGTGATATATTAGTTCCAGCTGCTACTGAAAAAGTCATAACTTCCGCTAATGCTCATAAGATCCAAGCAAAAGTAAATAAAATATTAAAAATAGTTAAATAAAATAAGCATTTTAAATCAATATTATAAACAACTATTTTTAGATTATTGGTGAAGCTGCTAATGGCCCAACAACCCCTGCTGCAGATAAAATTCTTATAGAAAGAAATATTTTAATTGTGCCAGATCTATATATAAATGCTGGTGGTGTAACTGTGTCATTTTTTGAATGGTTAAAGAATTTGAATCATGTTTCTTATGGCCGCTTAACATTCAAATATGAGCGTGAATCAAACTACCATTTATTAGGTATAATATATTGACATAAAGTACATATAGTTAAAATATTATATGTATTAATTTTTTGTAGAATCTGTGCAAGAGTCATTGGAACGTCGTTTTGGTCGTGTGGGAGGAAGAATTCCTGTCACTCCTTCTGAATCTTTCCAAAAACGTATTTCGGGAGCATCTGAAAAAGATATAGTGCATTCTGGATTAGATTATACAATGGAACGTTCAGCTCGAGCTATTATGAAAACTGCCATGAAATATAACTTGGGTCTTGATCTTCGTACTGCCGCTTATATTAACTCAATCGAGAAAATTTTCACTACTTATAAAGAGGCTGGACAAACTTTCTAATTTTTTTGTTTCTACTGTTTTGGTGGGAGCTTAGGAGTTTATTTGTTGACAAACAAGCCAAATTCATATTTTTAACCACAATACAATTTTAATTATTATTACCAAATTTATATAAAATTAATCATTAATAATTCTAATAAAAAGGTATAAATAACTTTCCGTGTGAACAAAATTAATCTTTTAATCAAAACATGCTTTTAAAAAGTTCCTTTATAGTAACAAATCAATGTCCTTATTTTGTAAAATTTACATACATGAGTCTTCATTTGAGTTCTTATGAATATCAAATTCTACATATTTCACAATATTGAATTTGTACTTAAAAATAATTTTACAGTATCAGTATTTTTTGATAATAATAATTAAACTTTGCATTATTAAAAACACAGCTACAGTTGTAGTTGTATTGTGTAGTCCTAAATTTAATGAAATTATCATTTTATGAATTTGGCTAGTTGTTTTCTTTATATAAAAATAACGAAAACACCATTTAACTATATTGACTTATTTTGAAGTTTATAAAAAATTCCAAACCATTTTTTTTCCTTTTTACTTTTAAGAAAAGAAGTATACGTGTTTATTCAGTATTGTATAATAAATTATTAAATATTTAATTTTATATTCTTCAAGTAAATGTAAAATCTAATTAATACAGAAATTGATTTAATTAAATATACGAGTACAAATTGCTAATTCATGCTCATAATATATCACAATAATTTTAATACTCGTGTAACTGAAAATGTGAGTAAATTAATGTTATTCTCTATTTTATAAGAAATATTAAAACCATAACTTTCAATTTCTTAATTTATATAATTTAAAATACTGTAAAATAACAGTCATCTCATGAAATTGTAGAGAAATAATAAGTTTAAAATTGTTAATATTGTTTTGGAATTTGTTTTATGTTTTTAGTTGACAATATTAAAAACTAAAGAGTATTAAAAATATTTGTTAGAAATTGTAATAAAATTATTATTTATTTATAACCAATTCTTATTATGGAAACTATGATAATACATTCATGTTGTTAATATTGCATGTATTTTTATTTTAAAGTAATAAGTATGATCATAATCGTTCAATATTCTTAATCTTAAGTTTAAATTATATTTATTAATATTTGTTACTGTTGTCAAATACTTGAATGTTAATGGGTTATTAGCAATGAATTGTGTTTTAGTTGAATTGTTAGTCTTGTTGAATCATTTAACTGTACTTATATGGGCAATTAAAAGACTAAACATAAAGTTCAAAGTTAGAAATCTGTAGGAGTAATTACTACGGACAACAAATTAAAAAGAGAATAAAAACAAGTAATACAATTTTTGTGTTAAGAGTTGTAGATTAGCTATATGGTTAAATTGTATGGTTTGCCATGGGTCCAAAAATGGTTCTTCTACATCTACACAGTACTGATTTTTTCTGTTATTTACTACAGTGTAATGTTCAATATAATTTTTTAGTTACTAGTATTAATTACATAGACTAATTGTTTTAAAAACAATTTATAATATGCTTTTACATCATTTGATTTTTTCTTCATTAATTAATTGTTTTATTTATCAACTAATGTCATTGAAAGACTTAATTGTTATACATTTTAAGTAAGTGTATACAAAGAAGAAGAATAAAACACTTCTTCGGACTCCTTATGTGTTGTCTTCGTCTTACCAATGTATAAAATAGTAAAAACCGTTTTGTACGGAATAGGATCACTCCGGCTGTAATCCAAGCTAAGTAATCAATTATTTACATTATAAAAAGGTGAACATTTACTATGCAAGACATTTTAAGTTTCTATTTTTGTTTACATTTAATTAGCCTTTTTATTTGGAAATTCATAATAGTGATTTTTGTAATGTAATAAATATACTACAGCTAAAATTATTTTTCTGAAAAATAATATATCATCAAGTTCATGTAAAGTAATAAACTAATAACTAATAAGAAATCAATACTGCCAGAATTAAAATTAATTATGCCCTTAACCATTGAACTTTGCTGCCATATTTGGCTCAAACTATCATCCTTGGGAAAACTGTGTATGTAGTAGTTGAATCAATATTTATTCCTTTTTTTTATTACCCCTAAAACACTTTTCATAGGTACACACTGACATTATAGTTTTCATGTTATTTAAAATATTGTACTTTGCTAAGAAAATGTAAAAATTCAAAAATCGTAAAATTCAAAACATACAATTTTTCTATCGTGTGATGAACCATAAGTATTAGAGTATTAGACTCATTACATAAGCTAAAGTTTTATAGAATCTGTAATGGTACAATTATTAATATCATCTTTGACCATATAAATGTCGAATTAGGAAATTTTATACTTAAAACCTCTACTAAAAAAATATAAAAACCACCAATTCCACCTCAAACCCAATAACCTGTTTTCCACAGGTTCTCTTAAAAAAAAAATTATCTTAGTTCCTGTCTCTTGATATTATAAACTAATTTAGTATTATTAATTATTACTAACTTTATTTTTTAATGGTTGAATATTATTATAGTAAATTTTGTTTTTGGCGGCAAGCATCATCAACCAATGAAATGAGTCGAACTGGTCATTCGCTTCTGTTATCTACCAAGTTATTTTATCATTTCTTTGATACTGAGATTGATATTGACGTTTGTCCTGACAGAGACGTCCTCGCAGTCTCGCAGTTCGTTTTTCGAAAATTCAAAAATCATTATTAGCTTGTAGATACTCGGTTGTACTGAGTAAGTACTTCATACCAAGCTTAAAATTAATTTAACTAACTAGGTATCAACTATTAATGTTTGTGGCGATATCCATCAAATAAGGGATTACATTTTACACACTTATTATATAATATTATAATATTGTTTTACTTAGGTACCTACCTACTTATACGAAGAAAATGATGAGACAAGCGCAAGTTGTTCGACCCCATAATTTGGACGAATATTTATTGAATTTGTTAAAAAGTATATACAAAACTAGGAATCTATCTGTGGAAGTAGGTAAACATTATGAATTTAATGTAATACTAATTTCATTTTTAGTTTGTTTTAATGATGTGTTGGTAAAAGGTAAACAGACTTGGATATACAATGTACCCCATTTTCAAGTAAAAAAAACTGCTTAACAACAGAAAAATTATGAATAAACTGACCCTGAATGACAATAAATACTGTTAAATAAAATTATATGAATTTAAATTTATTTTTCTCCAAGGTTTCTTTTATTACCCATCACACTTGATACCTACATTAATTTTGTTTTTCATTGACCAATTAACTTATTTATTTAGTGGGTGCTTACTTATAGCTTTATAAAAAAAATAATGCAACCACCCCTATCACAATTTAATATTTTAAGTTAAAAGATGTATTTATTTATATTTTGGAACTTTGAAAGGTTACTGAGAACTGACTTTGAAATTAAGATTAATCATTTTTAGTACATAATATTATTATGTAATAGGTACTTATTATTATTATCGATATAAATTATTTGTTGTAGTAAATATTCTCTGTGTCTAGGTTGTTTATGTACAGTATGCTATGTACATACTAAATTTATATGAACATTTTAATGATATGTATATGATTTTAATAAAACACTTTTGTTTTTGTTCTTAGGAAATATCACAATGGTTGACTTCTGCACCTTTAAACTCATATTTTCGAGTTAATACTTTGAAGATTACGCCTTTTGAAGTTATGACTTCCATAAATGAACAAATATCAAATGTAAATATGTAATGTATATTGTATTTCATTCCTTTCATCTCCTTTCTTAATTTATAAAAAAAGTTACATCCCTATCCTATTATATGTATCATTGATTTTTTTATAGACAGATAATCCATGCAAGACAAATATTATAAATAATTACTTTTTTATACATGCTAAATAATTTATACATTTTGTTGTTTCTTTTGTTAAAAAATGTTTGTGTATGTTATAGTTGAAACAACTTAAAAATAACGAACAAAAACAACATTCAGTTAGAGTACATAAATATTTGAGCGATTGTATAGTAATTTCACCAATGGATAAGTCATTATTAGACTTGAGTCCTAAAAAAGAAGAAGTTATTGTTGACATTGCTACTGGGCAATCTGCTTTACGAGGGGCTCATATATTTGCTCCTGGGATTATGGCTATGGCACCTGGTACAATAAACTATAATATTTATATGTTATTCAATAGCATTGCATAAAACTATTAATATACCATTGTTATACAATTTTCATAATGAGTCTATAGAGTTTATGCAACTATTTATTTCCGTACACATATACCATTTTGAAGTTGAAAAAAATAATTAAAAAACATACGACATTGTAAACTTTTAATTATTATTGATACTATTTTTATAATACTAATTAAATCCATTTTTTAATATTTTATTTTTTAGAAGTACAAGTTGATTCATTCATATCAGTTTATGCGGATTTAGCCAAAGGGTGTAAACGAGGATACCAAAAATATTATGATAATCCATTGAAGATGTTTGTTGGCAATGGTATTGCCAAAATGAATCGTCGACAGTTATTTAATGGTGATATGAATCCTAAGTATGATTAAATGCGTATTATGTTTTTGATGTATTTGATAAAATACTTAAAATTACATTTTAGAGGTATTGCGGTTGAGATGACTGACCCTGCTACAGGCATCCCTTCATTTACATTGCCTAATGAATATGGAATGCTACAGAATTTGCCTTCGGTTGTCACTGGACACGCACTTGATGTCAATGAAAACAATCTTAAAGTATTAGATATGTGTGCAGCACCTGGTAATAAAACCACACACATAGCAATTTTAATGAATAATAAAGTGAGTTGATGATTTGGACAATTTTTTGACATAACATTTTGAATCTAATGAATTATTCAAGTTCAGTAGTATTAACAACCTAGAAACTATTTGCTCCATTATGAGTAACACCTTAAGAATTAATTTTTTCTTTACTATTATCAGGGTTCAATAGATGCAATAGATAAATCAAAAACAAAATTAAATAGAGTTGAACTTAGATGCAAACATTTTGGAATACAAAATGTGAAGATTCATCATTTTGATTCATTGATTAGTGTAGACTCAAACAATATAAACAACAGTGACAGTAGACCACCGTTTAAAAATGAATCATTTGACCGTGTTCTATTGGATGCACCTTGCAGTAATCTTGGACAACGGCCATTACTTAATATCGAAGTAGATAAAAATTTATTAAAAAGTTTTCCTGCTTTGCAAAGAAAATTATTAGTAAATGTAATTGGATGATATAATCAGTATATTTAAAATTTAAATTGATGGAATTTTTTTATTTATCAGTTTTTTAATGTATTTTAGGCTGTAAGTCTTGTTAAGCCTGGTGGTATTTTAGTATACAGTACATGTACAATAACGCTTGAAGAGAATGAACACAATGTAGCTTGGGTTCTTGAAAAGTTTCCACAGATGGAACTAATTGCAATAAATTCTGAAATTGGCAGTCCAGGAATTACAACTCAAGTATATTAAATTAATGCTTTGGCTATTTTCCCTATCTTCATTTGTATATATTTTGTTATAGGCGGGATTAAATAAAGATTTATGTGAACTTGTAAGGCGTTTTGGTCCTGAGAACGTCGAAGAAGATTCTATTGGATTTTTCATTTCAAAGTTTCAAAAAAAAAGCTCATTAAATTCGTAGTGTACATTATAATAGTAATAATCCTTGAACTCAAAACTAAATTGTTTTTTTATCAGCTATATCATGTATTTGAAATAAAATGTATTCCATTAATAAATTTGTTTCTTAGCTTCTTCTCAACCTTAAATATTATACATAAATTATAAATAATTATTATGGATTTGTTGAGAGGAGAAAAAGTTTAACGGATTTACGGGATTTACGGGAATTATGAAAATTATTATTTTTATTTTTAATCTAGGATATTATACAATCTATACTAAAAAAAAGTATAATGTATGTTAAAATTGAGTGCAATGGCTTGAGTGTCTTGAGGGATAAAAATAATTAGTTCAATAACGGATTCACAAGGGACCATTGAATTTTTGGAAGTAAAAATAATATTAAAAAACCACTGGTATAATTTGAAACGAATGCCCCTTTTTTATCCATTACAGTTACTAACTAAATGATGTAGTACACTCGAGTTCAACGTCTACTACACAGTACAGTCAAATTCCTCAATTTATTAAAATGTTGTTTTGTGAAATGTACACTTGGGTGTACTAAGCTCACATACAAGTTAGTTTAAACAAGTAATAAACGATGTGTGTCTACAACTCTACTCTTAGTAATCATAAAAATGAACAAGAAGCTAATA